GCAGAGTGGGAGAATAGAGATAGAATGATGAAACAGGGTCCCTATGTCCTCCAGCATTCTAAGCCTATAGCAGCATAATGTTTAAATCGATGTACCATGCCTAAAGTCACATAGCGGTTTATGAACCTTTTCTTTTCATAATTAACTCTGACTCTAAACACTGGAAATTGTGTAGAAACAAAATGTAGCTGTGGTATTTTATTGTTTGTTTGTGGTGCTTCTACAGTGCATAGGTTTGCATTAATAGGTGTGTGTGTGTGTGTGTCAGGGGTCTTTATCTGCAGGGGGAAGGAGGATGCCCTGGTAACCAAAAACATGGTGGTGGGGGAATCAGTGTATGGAGAAAAGAGGATGAGCGTCGAGGTAAAGTCTGACCTCCAGTAAAGAATGTTGGGATTTTTTGTTGCAGACCTTTGATTTGATGCCTTTTCTGCAGGAAGGAGAGACAAAAATCGAATACAGAGCATGGAATCCTTTTCGTTCCAAGCTGGCGGCAGCCATCTTAGGAGGAATTGACCAGATCCACATCAAACCCGGAGCCAAGGTCATGTACCTGGGCGCTGCCTCGGGTACCACCGTGTCCCACGTGTCGGACATTGTTGGACCAGTGAGTATAAGAATAACGGCCCCGAAAATGACTTGGAAACGCTGCTGAGAGTTTAACCCAATTTTAAATCCAGGCTGTGAACCAGCTGGTCGGTCCTGTAGTTAAACAATGCTGCTGGTTTTACCCAGTAAGCCCGTTTAGAAAAGGACTGAATGGGTAAAGGAAGATAAATCAGAATTTTCAGAGTTTAATTTTCATAAATGCCAAATTTTAATAGTTATAAATGAATTCATAATCCAGCCTTAAGTAACAGTAACACAGACGGTCTGAACCAAAGGTTGCAGAGCAAAGCACACAGTTAAGTACCCAGACTTGTTTTCCACGCTCCCTCTCACTCATGCTACCTTCAGCCCGTACGCAGCAGAAGCAGCAAAAACTGGCGTGCTGCTTCATTTTTGATGCTTCTACAAGTTTAGTTCTGACGCGCGGCCGAAGCTTCTTTGCTGCAGGGTGGAAGGTGGGTCTGATGCGCGTTGGGCGGAGCTATCCTTTCTTTGGCTGGAACATCAGCAGCTATATTTGCTGTGATCAATGGGTAAAAAGTAGTCTGAGGATGTTTTCCATCTGTGCAGTCAGTTCATCCAGAGAACCATCCTGCCTTCAAATATTATTTCACCGTCGGAGCATCAGACCCCCGTACACCAGCGGTTCTCAGGGAATCCCGTCCAACAGTATCCTCTGCTCCGTTGCATATTTGCGGTTTTCCACTGCTGTTCACGGAAGGCGTTCTTAATGTGTGTAATCCAAGCTGCAGGCAGCAGGATAATAAAAGCAGACATGTTTTGCTGGCATTTTTCTACATTTTAAGTAAATATAGGCGTTAGAGGAGTGATCATAGCGCTCTGCATCAGCAGTGCTGTCTGTCTCCCTGCCAGCTCCCAGATCAGCCTCTCTGATTGGTTGAAGTGGCACGTCCAGCAGCTAAAGTTAAATTTTTCCAACTCCAGCATCTGCTGCTTCTGAAGCAGGTCAGAAGCTCGTGACACGCTGCTCCTGCTGCTCTAAACCTGGACCTTTTGCTGCGCCGCAACCAGTGACTTTGAATGTAAACTAGCTGCTTCTGCAGCGTGTGGTCTGGATGTAGGTTCCCATATGGTGGAAGCTGGAATGATGTCAGGACAGTTAAAGCACTGATGCTCTGCTGCAGGAAAGATGGCTCATAAAGGTTTTTTAATGTAAGGGTTCCAGGGTGTCTCTACCCGATCCGTCCCGGAAGCACGATCCGTTCTGCGCAAACAGATATACATCCGGGTGTCCATACGTAATATAATTATGGTACTAAAACTACTAATTTCTATCCATAACTCGCTAAAGAATAGTAATACACATCTGTAAAATGTTGTATGACTTTTGCGAGACAATTTTTATGTTTTTTACATTTT